TGTTTATATTATTTATTAATTAATGAAATATTGATTTATTGAATAAATACTTGGTCCAGTTATTAATAATTGCAGTTACGTTATTGGAATTTCTAAGCTTTTATAACAGAATTAATTTTTTTAAAAACGCAAATATTTAAAAAAACAAATAAATACAAAAATTATTGTAAAAAAGACTTAATTAACTATAAAAAAAGCGTGTTGTAAATTTTTCAGAGGATTTCTCCGGCTTGGAAATATACTTAAATTTTAAACGTAATTAAGATAATGTAATTAACTAAATTGAATTAAAGAAAAAAAAATGCATAGATACGTTAAAGGGTGTATAATACATAAAAGCTTACTTTTATCAAAAGTCATAAAACGTCCCGATACCGTGCTACATAACAACAATATAAGGAAAATGCTTTCCATATCCATCCCAATGCTGCTCTTCGGCAATACTGAGCCAACTGCCTGTTGTCAATCTGTTCTCTACACCTAACCCCTCTTCTATATGAACACTAGCTGCCCTCTAGCGTAGGAAACCCGAACTAGGAAAGATTTTATCTTCAACTCTTCCTTTAATTCTTTTGCAGCATCCTTTATCTCAATCTAATTAGTTCATGCATTTCTTTTAGTATATTTACGTAAAAAACTAGTGATTAAAATTTATGAAATGTAAAATTTAAAAATTTATTTTGGTTTTTNGTAAAATATCGATATCAAGCACATCCCTTCCTCTATCAGAAAAAAAAAGCTAGGGAAAAAATTGCTATCGGAGTTTACCCGTATATATATATGTTTCCAAGATGGAATTCGGAAATCGGAAAATCATCTGTAAAGACAGGTTGTAGCTAAAAGCACTTCCAACTTTACCGAAAGGTTTTGATTACGGGAGAGAGGTTTCTTTGCCAAGTACTGCAAAACCTCTTATCAGAATTCTACCTTAGATCTCCCCTAATCTGTAGCCGAAGGTATAAGACAGAATAGTGTAATAACTAGTAAGCTATTCCACTCTTCATTGATTGCTAGATGCTGTGATATGACCTAGGAGTCGATACAGGTCGTTGCGGTTCCAAAGGGACCTTTCTTAACCGCACTCCTAATTACGATCTTTCCTTTCAGACTTTCCAAATCCCCTTTCTTCTTGATTATCTCTGAACTGCCCCCTCCCTCTCTCTCTCTCTCCTTTTGTACCTTATATATATATATATTTTTTTTCATTCTTTCTTTTTTACAAGAAACTTTGAAGGGAAATTTTTAATTCACATTTTACTAAAAAATTTCACCTTATAAAATAAGAGTGGCCTATGGGGGTTATTTTGTTTAGATCGTTAATGGCTAAAGAATGAATATTTTTCTTCTCTTAAATTTTTGGTAGAAACGACGGCCGAATAAGAAATCCTTTCACATGAAGAACTCTCTATGGATGTAAGCCTATTTATATTGACTATGTCATCTGTCATTTTGGGATCGAAAAATGTCATCTTTTAAGAGGATCATTTTAGAATTGAGACAAGATACTTGATGCTAAAATCCATAAAGGAACGGGCTTGAATTAGAGTGATCAAATTTGATTTTTTTTTCTTCTTCTCCCAGTTATCTTGATAGAAATGTTTCTATTTAGCTCTTAAGATATGTTTTGGTACGAAAGAAAAAAAGGATGATCCATCGATTTCTACCCGAAAAATTATTACATAGATCAAAGTGGAGTTAACTAGAAATTTTGGGTTTTTTTTTTCACCAATGGCCTATAATTTTGAGATGATTTGTTCGCATTCTTGAACATAGTGATTATAAAAATTTTGAGGGAATTTATCGGTTACAAAAAGTGTTTAGGAAGTTATTGATCGCAAAGTATTATTATTATTATTATTATTTTTAGTAATATGTGCTATCTGTTGAGCTGTCTAGTCGTAAAATTTTGATCCGAACTGCAACATAATACTTTTGTAACGCATAAAAATTCAGATAAGGAATTCTCCTATATAATAAATCTATTCGATCATTCTTCGTCGAATATACCAATAACATTCTAATTATTAATATATTTTTATATACAAATTGATAAATAACATTTGACGTATTTATCGCTTATAAAAATTCATTTATTTATAAAAGAAAATTACTGTTAAAATAAAATCTAACAAAGTACTAAATTAACACAGGAAAGAACTTTTAAACCTGAAAAAAAATATATAAACATTCAAGACTTTGCATCAGTTTTATGAAGCAGAAACTTTAATAATGTGCCATTAGAACATTTTCCGTTAGAAAGAACGTTAATATGTTTTACCATTTTCCGTTATTTAAAAAAAAATAATAATAATTTTACTACACAATAAATTCATTAAATTTAAACGGTTACAAGTTCATTGAATTTATTAATATCGTAATTTTATACCAATTAATTTTGATTTTATTTTGTATTTTCTTAAATTAAATAGGACACAATCTGCTTACAAAGAAACTTTAGTAGTTTTGCATACGAATTGGGTCAATATTTATTATTTTTGCAATGTCCTTGGTTTTGTAGGTTCTTAAACACTAACCAATTAATTTATCATGTAGAGGATTATATAATTCGACAATTAAATTGATTTATTTAATTATAAACATGTGAAACAAAAAATAATTTAAGTCGTTATTTTACAACTCATTTTGTAAACATAAGAAATTTGAAATTTAAATAGAACTTTGAAGAAACAAAATTATTACGAATTAAATTTTAGTGGAGAAAATAAAGATAAAAATAAATGGTAAATAATATAAAAATATATTCATATAAACCGTTATCAAATTATATATAGAAATATAAATTTTATAATCAAATTTTAAGCAAAATTTTAAAATTTCTGAGTTGAAAAGTGTATTTTTTTCGGGTTTTTTTTGCATTTTTTAAGGAATAAAATGTGAAATTTTTGTCTTTATTTTATTTAATTTATGTCGTTATTTAGAAACTTAGATATTAAATTTTAAGAATAATACAAGAAAAAATTTTTGCTATTTTATAAAGAATCAAATTTACAATTTCTTTATTTTATTTTATTTTTGAAATTGATAAATTATATTTTAAAATTTTGATAAAATAACAATACAATTAATTAATCTCAATAACTTCATTAGACTTTCAGGGATTAATATATTTTAAAAAATTATATACAATTAACTAACTAAAACACGAGAAATTTATCATAATTTACTGTAATTTATACTTAAATGTAGTAAAATATAAAAAATAAATTATTCATTAATATATATATTTATCAGATAACTGAGTAAATATATACACTTGTAGGTAAATTATATAGCATTTATAATCATATAACTTTATTATCCATTATCGTATTATAATCTTAAACATTACACAAAATTAGCTTCCTGCATAGACGTATGCTAATTTCAATAGTAAAGTGATCAAATTCCTGTTTAAATACCTAAAATTGTTGATCATCTTAATATAATGAACATAGAATTATTGCAATATTAAGGAGATAAATTTAATTAAGAACATCTTCTCTGCTATTTACCAAAATTATGAAATATTTGATATTTTTTCCTATAAGACAATATGGCTTTCCTCAATTATTTCGAGTCGTTATAATATAATTAAATCAAAACATTAATATATTAAAAATTAATATGACGTGTAAAAAGTTTGGAAATTAGTAATTAAAATCATTTTTGCTTACATTCTTATATTTATTGCGTAATAAGTAAGGTAATTATAATCAATTCTTCTCTTTAATAAATTAAGTAAATTTTAAATGCTCTTAATAATAATTAAAAAAAGGAAATATTCACCCTAAATTTGAATTAATTATTGCCTATCAGAATGTTAATTAATTAAATTAAAATAATGCTATAAAATGCATTTTTTAAAAAATTTTAATGTAGAGAAAACAATAAATGACATCCTACGTAACAATATAAATAACTTTTAATAATCAATTTCGTTAAAATTTCNAGCTAAAACAATTTCACTCGAAACAATTAACATACTTAAATATTAAAACTTGAAAAAAGCTCAGATAAATATCGACAAAATTATGTTTTTGTTTTATAAATTTTATTTACCAAATTCAATTTCTCTAAGTAAGATGGATGAGAATATTTTTGTAAATTCGGATAATGACTCGTCTCAACAGACCTATAGATATCAGGCGAGTCATTATCTATTGTTGTAAAGTTGTATAATGTCGAGGAATTCTTGGAATTTGAAAATAAATAGTGTTTTTGATTTATCCAGTTTCGAGTTAATGAAGTATTTCCTTAATTGAAGTAAAAGAGATTTCAATTACAGAAGAGTACAAAAAATAAATATATATTTTTTCGTTTGGTTGATAAATTTTGTAAGTTTGAATCACAAAAATACAATTACAAATTGCATTTTTTATTGTCTCCAATTTGAAATTTACAATGTTTTTGTCATAGAACAATAGTAGATACTTTGTAAATAATCAATTTATTTTTAAAAAAAAACGATTCTTTGTGATTAATATTTTGTAAATTGCAACAATAAAAAACACAATTTAAATTACTTTTAAATTTGTAATTTTCTATTATGTAAAAAATTACAAATTGCATTTTTTTATTGTTGAAATTTACAAATTTAAAAGTTATTAAATTGTTGAAAATTGTATTTTTTTATTATTTAAATTTATGAATATTAATTATAAATTGTATTCTCTTAAGTTAATTATTCATAAACTTTATGATTTCAATAATTACGAGATCTGAAATTTACTGTATTTTTATTAAATTACAGTAAAAATTTATTAATTGTAATGAATAAGTGTAATATATAATTTATATTTTGATGATTGAGTAATTATTTTTTATAAATAATGTAAAAAATTATTTCTGATGTGGATACGTTTTAAAATATACTTAATGACATGCTATATATATATATATACGTATATTTAATAATTTATAATGGGTCATTTTAGAGGTCGAGAGAAGGTCCTTTCGTTTGAGTCTTCCAGTATGAACATAACTNTAGAATAAATGAGAGGAATAAAAACGGTAAATTTTTCAATAAAACACAATTAAAGAGAAATAATCTTAACGTTCAACATGGAAAAAAACCATAAATTTTTAAATTTGATTAAACCGGAGTAAAAAAATAAAATAAAATAAAATAAAAATTATAGGAATGAATTTATTATCCTTTCGGAATAAGTTAAAGGTGTAAAAGGGTATTTAGTTATCCTACTTTTATGAGACAATAAAACGTTTTAGCTTATTAAAAACGGAAGTGGTGCAACTCTCTATAAATTTTCCCATTTTAGTCATTCTATCGACTTAATGTCGACAACGAACTGGATGGAGATAGGATGTTATGGATGCTACAATGGTTCCGGAGACATCCGTTTGTTCACGTTATCAATGTTAGACCAGTCGCTACCATGCTTTTGCCTGTTTGGTAAGGATCAGCAAACTAAACACAATTGTGGATTCTAAGTTCG